AGGTCAGATCACCCCAGCCAGGTGCTTATCTAGGCTCCTCTTAAAGACCCCCAAGGTAGGAGAGAGCATCAGATCTCTTGGGAGATCGTTCCAGATTCTGGCAGCTCTTACCGTAAATAAGTTCTTCCTGATATCTAACCTGAATCTGGTCTCTGTCAGTTTGTGACTCTTGTTCCTAGTTATCCCAAGGGGTGCCCTGGTAAACATAGGATCTCCTATTCCTTGCTGTCCCCCTCCCCTATGAATTTGTAAAAGGCCACAAGATCACCTTTCAGCCCTTTCTGATGGGTGATATAAAACAAGACTTTACCTGTGAACCTAAGAATGTTAATACTGTTCTGTATCCCATTCTACTTTGAACTATCAGAAAAAAACACATACTATTTTGATCTCAGCATCGATTCCATGTAGGAAAATGGCAAAGGCAAACTGTGCCACCTTTCCCCATCCTAAAAAAATCAAATCATAACTTTGACTTGCCACATTTACAATTTGTCCCATACTTAATCCTAAGGAAGAATAGTGAAATAATAATGCACACCCTTTCAGCTGCAGTGTCATTTCCAATATTATTCTTCCATTCAGAAAATATTCCTGTTGCCAGACCCATATTCAAAACAGTAATGAGTATACCAAAGAAAGTAATTTTATGTTGTTATATTTTTTTAAAAATGAAAATGAAACAAAATATGTGGTGTTTTCATTTTTTGCAAGTTTCTTTTAATTCATAAGTCCATTATGTCATAACTTTACAGAAAACTTTGTTAGAATAGTAAATCTGAGTATTGCCAACCATGTCTCTCTTAGTAACTGGCATTGCTTTCACCTGACTTCTCAACCTATAGAAAAAAGGCTGCATCAAGTGTCCTTTCCTTGATGTTACTTTATGGTTTGAAGCTGACTAGTAGCATGGTAGAAGAGTTGAGGGGTCAGAAAGGGGAGCTACAAGTGTATTCTTATCCAAAGCAAAGTGATTTCTTTCATCTTAATGACGTAGAGAAAAAAAATCAGTGTGAACGTAAATGTGTAGAGATTTTTATTAATTCTGCCATTATTGGCAATCAGTAGTTACAATAAATACATTAAATCCTTAGAGAGTATCAGTATAACCTTTTGAATAGCCAAATGCTCATTCATTTTGTCTTTTGCTAAATATTATGTATAATTTACTAAGTGGCAATTGAATTTTCAAAAGCGCATGCTCTAGATTCCAATGACATATTGTGAGACTGTACTGTTATTAAGCATTCTTGCTGACTGTCTTTTTAGTATCACAGAACTTTCTCTAAAATGTTAATCTCAGATTAGATTTCATGATGTTTTGTGTGTATTTTTTTCTTAAGTTTGTTTGACCAGGTAATGTTATGGTACTGCTGGGTAATAGGTTATGTACACTCTGAATATGCTGGTCATATAGTGAAAAGAAATATTTAGGAAGAATGAAATATTTAATGTATGGCTTTACTTTTGAGTGAGTTCTGTGTATGAATATGAAACAATGTTTTCAAGAATAGGATAACTCAAACATACATTTGAAACAAAGAAGTATGAATTCTGCTAGTTATAAGCCTTATTTTGTCACAACTAAAGAGCG